GGGGAAGAAAGAAAGTGTGCCCTACCGTCACCTGAGACTCAGAAACTGGGAGGACTACCCCCAGGAATCAGCAAGAGGGAGACAGTAAGTCCCCAAGCCTACCCGAGAGGAGCCGGTACCCGAAGAACTAGGGTCCGCCTGCTTGGGGGGGGGGGGTTGCAGCGCCCTCCATTCTGTTCCTTATGGGTCTGCTGGGTCTCTTCACACTGCATCGCAGCCCGAGCACTGTTGCCTGCATTGCCGTACAAACTGGAACCACAAGTCTCCCGGCACCCACCGATGACAGCAATGCGACCAGAGCATCTGGCTAATCAGCTTGGAGTGCAGCTGCTCTGCCTCCCAGAGGTTGCGACCGTCCGCCCGATGCTGACTCGGCCAGTTCTTTCTGGCGGTGGCACTGGACTGGAAGGCAATAGGAGCGCAGCCCCACTCCTCTCTGAATGGAGGGATCGCGCTGGGCAAGGAGGAGGTAACTTACCTGTCCAGGAACCACCAGCACCGCTCTTGAGTCTAGGGCTCCTATACAGGTTCCTAAAATGTGTAACCTATCCTTCCGAAGGAAACACTAATACTGAATAGGGAAGCCTGGAGGTCCACCTTTTAAGATCCTGGCCTTATGCGTTTCCTGTCCCGGAGGGAGGAGCTCTACGTCTCAAGAGGCAGTCATGGAAGACGTTTTGAGAAAAAACAAACAATGGTGCCCAAAATTCTCTATAGGCACCATTTTAAAGGTGTTTAACTGTAAAATGATAATGTGTACCCATAATTTATGGCTCTAGAATTATTGCTCTCACTATGCCTGTCGAGGCAATACCTCTCGTGTAGCGCAATTTATGTTTACGTAGCAATGCGTGCCCTACGCTACACGTTTGTATTAGGGTGTGTACAGGAGAGCTTTTTTTTTAAAAGCACTTTACTTTTTTTTTTTTTTTTTTTTTTAATACTTATTTTTTTCCATATTTAACTCTATTGTCAGCTACTGGCAACTTTGATCCAAATCACTGCTTCTCCGGGAGTTTTGCCTGTAGAAGCAGCTCAATGTCATGCTATGTGTCCATGCACATTAGGATGTTTAGAGGCATATTTTAAGCTCAGCGTTTAGAGGCATACAAAAACCCTTCTGGTTTGTGTTTTTGATTAGCGGTTTTTTTTCTGCCAGAAAACTTCAAACGATCCTAAATGCGCCTAAACATGTGTACAAAAATTCTCTATATTGGGTTTTATTAATGCCAAGGGAACTGGTGTTTTTTTGCAAGCCCAATGTGCATGGAGCCTTAGTGTTCTATCAGCAGACAGTCTTTTCACAGACCCTCACAGAAGACAGTGTGAGATAGAGAACCCCGAGCAGTCAGCTCACACCTAAAAAGGTCTAGACAGCAGAGACTAACAATGAGGTCCAGCTAGCAGGTACGATGTGGATCTAGGAGTGGAGGCTTTAGTCTAGCCAAAGCTCTACAGAACCTCCAGGCTTCAGGATTCAGAATAGAGCTTATTACGTCTTGTCGACCATGTAATACACATGTTTAATGGCAGGCACTTAATGCTGTCACACCACACACACACACACACACACACACACACGAGTCCTTGGCAGTCAAGGTTTCTATGACCAGAGTGCACTCACAGTGACAGAGACCTCACACACAGCTCTCCTGGTCTCTGGTTGTAATGGTTTCACACACACTATATACAGTGAATGAAATAAGTATTTGATCCCCTGCTGATTTTGAATGTTTGCCCACTCACCAAGAAATGATCAGTCTAAAAATCGAATGGTAGGTGTATTGTAACACTGAGAAACAGAATAGCAACAAAAAATTCAAAAGAAATGCATGTAACAAAATTATGCACCGATTTGCATGTTCATGAAGGAAATAAGTATTTGATCCTCTATCATTCAGCAGGATTTCCTGCTACCAGGTGTCTTTCATACAGGTAGAAAGCCGAGATTAGAAGCAGTCTCTTAAAGGGAGTGCTGTTAATCTCATTTTGTTACCTGTATAAAAGACACCTGTCCTCAGGAGCAATCAAACAATCAGATTCCAAACTCTCCACCATGGCAAAGACAAAAGAGCTGTCCAAGGATCTCAAGGACAAGATTGTAGACCTACACAAGGCTGGACTGGGTTACCAAACTATTGCCAAGCAGCTTGGTGAGAAGGTGACAACAGTTGGTGCAATCATTTGCAAATGGAAAAAACCCAAAGCAACTGTCAGTCTCCCTAGGTCTGGTGCACCATGCAAGATCTTACCTCATGGAGTGTCAATGACCATGAGAACAGTGAGGAATCATCCCAGAACTACACATGAGGATCTTGTCAATGATCTCCAGGCAGCTGGGACCACAGTCACCAAGAAAACAATTGGTAACACGCTAAGCCGTCAAGGATTGAAATCCTGCAGTGCCCGCAAGGTCCTTCTGCTCAAGATAGCACATGTCCAGGCCCGTCTGAAGTTTGCCACTGAACATCTGAATGATACAGGGGAGGACTGGTTGAAAGTGTTGTGGTCAGATGAGACCAAAATCGAGCTCTTTGGCATCAACTCAACTCGTTGTGTTTGGAGGAGAAGGAATACTGCCTATGACCCCAAGAACACCATCCCAACTGTCAAACATGGTGGTGGAAACATTCTGCTTTGGTGGTGTTTTTCTGCTAAGGGGACAGGACAACTGCACCGCATCAAAAGGGACGATGGACGGGGCAATGTACCATCAAATCTTGGGTGAGAACCTTCTTCCCTCAGCCAGGGCATTGAAAATGGGTCGTGGATGGATGTTACAGCATGACAATGACCCAAAACACACAGCCAAGGCAACAAAGGAGTGGCTCAAGAAGAAGCACATTTAGGTCCTGGAGTGGCCTAGCCAGTCTCCAGACCTTAATCCGATTGAAAATCTGTGGAGGGAGCTGAAAGTTCGAGTTGCCAAATGTCAGCCACCAAACCTTAAAGACTTGGAGAGGATCTGCCAAGAGGAGTGGGCCAAAATCCCTCTGGAGATGTGTGCAAACCTGGTGGCCAACTACAGGAAACATCTGAACTCTGATTGCCAACAAGGGATTTGCCACCAAGTACTAAGTCATGTTTTGTGAAGGGGATCAAATACTTATTTCCCTCATGAACATGCAAATCAGTGCATAACTTGTTAGAAATGTATTTCTTTTGAATTTTTTGTTGCTATTCTGTCTCTCAGTGTTACAATACACCTACTTATTTCCTTTACGATAGATAGATCGATCGATAGATCATACATATACACACACCATTCCAAACTTGCAGTGTTGGCTAGCTTGGTAAAGCCTAGAGCTCCCTCTGTTGGCTGGAACAGTAGATGCAACACATTCTTATGGAATATTTCATGTCTACTTGAAAAGAAATTCGAAAATAAAAAATATATTTACAAAAGCACTATATGCTGTAAACCTGGTGTGACTCTGCAAGGACCAGGGCAGTGGAAAGTGGGCCTGCACTTTGTCTAAGGTCTGTGGTCTCTTATTTTTTATGAAATGCTAGCTTTTTTGATCAACGTACACCTACACATTAAAAGCTTATACTGCCATTATAGAAGCATAATATGCTCATCCCACTCTGAGACGTTTTAAAGGATTCTGCAGGCTACCGTTCACATATATTTCTTGAAAGCAAATAAGGCAAGCCTGCTGACCTTTCAGTTTTGTCCTTGAGACTTCTAATGCTCCAATTCAGAAATGTAAATCTAGATAGATGGTATTCCATATTACCAGGTTCAAGACATAAACATCATGTAATTACCCAAATACTGTATATTTAAAAGGACAATGGTACTTTAAGTCCTCTAACTCACCCTCCCAAACTAATCTACAAGAACACCATTATGCCCAATCAATATCTGAAACCCTTTACAAACAACAAAAGTCTGGTGTAACAAGACTGAACCCAGAGTGTGGTACATTCATTTATGCTCCAGTTTAATCCTGTGGTGATGGCCAAAGTAATAGTTCAGCATGCAAAAATGTCTGCCATTTAAAATTAAAATAATTGTATGTAAAGATTTTCTGTGGAGGAGTGTGGGGGCTGTAGGGTAGAATTGCATCTCGTTTTACAGTTTAATTTGCATCAATCTAAACTAACACCAAGGGGGGGGGGGCATTTACTTAAACAGGAAAGTACAAAATCAAGTGCAACTCTGCAAAGAACCCAATCAGCTTACTGGTTTTATAGCCAAAGCTTAAAATGAATAAGCTGAAGTTGGAAGCTACCATGCACAGCTACACAAGATTCTGAGTGCACTTGTTTTCACAAGTCTACCCCACATACCAGATATGATTGTTTTAAGGCAAAATGAACTATCAGCTAACAGTTGAAAATATTTGAGGGGTATCACAACAGTGTTCAAAGCTCACAACCTGAGTAAAAAAAGCCTGTCCCCTGTTCTCTCTGCAGAGGTCTGACACAAACCCTGCTGAGTTATTCCTTGAGCATACATTTGGATGATTGCATAGCTAAACACTGATTGATTGAAGGGATCAAACTCTGACTTAGCAGAGGGGTGTCAGACTTCATTAGAGGGTCAAAAACTCCATCATGCAGACAGGGGACAGGCACTCAGGATGTTGCTGTTTTCTCTAAGTCTTCAAACACTTTTTGCTTTGATTCAAATGGAATATATTTAGCTCACTGAAAACAAAGTTTAACTGTGTTTTAAAGCAAATCTGCTGATGGGTAAAAAATACTACCCCTACTTATACTAAGGGCTAAGCAGCATCAGGTGCCTTAACTCATTAACGTTCCTAGCAGCGCTAATCCCTGCTAGACCCCCGAAAAGACACTGACCCTACAGGGTTCACTAGCAGGTAAGAAAGCAAGAATATTTGAGCAATATTTTATGCTTTTATAATGATCTCTGTGAAACAGAGAGATGGCAACAGAAACGAACAGCAAAATATTGTTCTGCCAAGCACCACAGACTCAAACATTAGACTAGGTGGGTACAGCAATTAAAAGCTTTATAGTCTACTCACTTGGACACCAGCATCCTTGCAGGCCTCAATGACTGCCCTTGTTCCAGTGTAGTTGACTCTGTAGAATAGTTCTTTGTTGTCGCTGGAAGGGGCTGGGGATGCACAGTGAAAGACGACATTCACACCCTGAAGTGCTGGCAGTAAATCCTAGTGTTATTGAAATAAAACGGAGGAGGATTATAAACACAAGGCAAAATGAAATAGATTTTTACCTTAATGCATGGTCACTGATGTCCAAAGCAGGGAAAATAAGCCTTATTGTTTATTTAATGACATAGCATGCAGTACCATGAAGTCTAACTCTATAGCTTACTCAATTCTTATTATAATACAGGATTTATATAGCACCAACCGTTTGCGCAGCAATTTACAATGTGAGGGCAGACAGTACAATTACAATACAATTTAATACAGTAGGAAACAAAGGGCCCTGCTCGTTAGAGCTTACAATCTAAGACAGAGGGTCAATTTATACAAAAAGGTAATAACTGTGGGGGATGAGCTGATGGAGAAAATAAATTACAGATATTAAGTGGGGGCAGGAAAGGCTTGTATGAAGAGATGGGTTTTCAGGTATCATCTAAATGTAGACAGAGTAGAAGACAGTCGGACAGATTGGGGTAGGGAAGGTGGGAGAGACTCAGGAGAAGTCCTGGAGGAAAGCATGGGAGGAAGTAACAAGGGAACTAGGGAGCATGAGGTCTTGGGAGAAATGGAGAGAATGATTTGGTTGGTATTTTGAGACCAGGGTAGTGATGTAGCTGGGGGTCGAGTTGTGGATGGCTTTGTAAGTTGATGTTAGAATTTTGAATAGAATTTGTTGGGAGAGCGGAAGCCAGTGGAGGGATTAGCAGATGCTGAATGGCTGGAGCAGCATTCATGATGGACTGAAGAGGGGATAACTTATTTAAAGGTAATCCAATGAGTAGGGAGTTGCAGTATTCAAAGCGAGAGATGACCAGGGAGTGAATTAGAAGCTTTGCAGTGTCATTGGTTAGGAAGGGGGCGTATTTTAGAGATGTTGCCGAGGTTGAGGCGACAAGCTTTGGATGCGAGGCCAAAATACTAGTTCAGAGTCCAGGATAACACCTAGCACCTTGGCATGCGGGGACGGGCTGATAGATGTGCCTTCAATCTTGACAGAGAAGGCAGGAGAAGGGGCACGGGGGGAGGAAATATTATGAGCTCGGTTTTGGATAGATTGAGTTTGAGGAAGTGGTCTGACATTCAGGCTGATATGTCCATTAGTGATGCGTGTGGAGACTGATGGAGTGAGCTGTGGGGTAGAGAGATAGATTTGGATAGATCAGTGTAGAAATGGTATTGGAAGCCATGGTAGGCCATCAACTGACCCAGGAAGGAGGTGTAGATTGAGAACAGGAGAGCTACGAGAACAGAGCCTTCGTGGGAACCTGATGGTGTAAGGGACCGCCTGGCGACACCACTAGCACTCCACTAATCAGGCGTCCCCAGCGCACGGAGTCTAAGTCCCAGAGTACTTGTTCACCAGAGCCCCTGATGGTGGGATGGACTTGGAGTACCCCGGGACCAGGTCGTGCTTACTGAGGGCACCCGTCAGTGGTAGGGGTGGTCGCCAGGGGCTCCCACGGGAGAGAGCCTGATATGAGGAGGTCTGGGAACCCCGCTGAGAGGAATGGATGGATGGATGGATGAGCAAGTGCAGAGTCAGGCAAGCCGGGTCGGTAACGGGGAGGACAGCACGGTACAAGGCAGCGGGCAGAGAATAGTCGGGTCACACGCCAGGTCATCAACAGTAGGTCAAATCCAATAGGGGACATACGGAAGAGAGGTCAGGCAAAGCAAGGGTCTGGGCAGGAGAATTCAGCAGTGGTCAGGTACAATCCGGGTCAGCAACTTACAGGTTCAGGTTCAGATACAGGGCAAGGACAAGACCAGAAGGCACTGAATGACAGCTCAGGGCCGTTTAAATATCGCGCCCTGCGCTGCCATTGGTGCCCAGCGGGCGGCCGCGGCTCCTATTGCGCATGCGCGCGAACTCACGCGCCGCGGCCGGCCCGGACCTAGAGCCCGCGTCCCTGCACAGGGCGGCATACTGCGCCTGCGCCGGGACCATCGCGGCGGGGATCGAGGGGATCCCTGACATTGCCCCCCCCCCCTACGGGCAACCTCCGGATGCCCACCCGATCTCTCCACCACGGGTGGTCACGAAGAAACCGCCGGACAAGTCTGGGTGCATGGACATTATGGGCTGGTTCCCAAGAATTGTCCTCGGGGCCATAGCCCTTCCATTTTATAAGAAATTGGGTCTGGCCCCCCCTTCTTCGGCACTTCAGGATCGTTTCCACCTCATATTCTTCTTGTCTCTCCACCGTTATGGCCTCCGGAGGTCTGGATTCACGTTCTGGGAAGGCATCCGGGATCACAGGTTTAAGTAAGGACACGTGGAAAACAGGATGAATTCTGAATGTTTCAGGGAGGGTAAGTTCATATGCCACCTCGTTGACCATTCGCTTCACACAAAAAGGCCCCACGAATTTAGGTCCCAATTTCTTTGAGGGACAAAGCATTCTCAAGTTGGTTGTTGCCAACCAGACCTTATCCCCAGGCTTCAGCACCAGATTCCCTCTTCGTTTCTTGTTATATGCATTCCTGTTATCCTCCTGGGCCCGAGCGATGGCTTCCTGTAGTACTTTGTTGTTCGAGGAGAAGAAGTTTAATGCGTCTTGCGTTGCCGGAACTGGGCACTCAGAGACCAAATCAGGAAGAAAGACAGGGTGAAATCCGTAATTAGAGAAGAACGGAGATTGCCCTGTCGCTGAATGGCTTGCGTTGTTATATGCAAATTCCGCTAAAGGTAACAGTGGTAACCAATTATCTTGAAGGAAGGATGTGTAGCAACGCAAGTATTGTTCTAGGGTCTGGTTTGTCCCTCTCGGTCTGTCCGTTGGTCTGAGGTGGAAAGCAGAGGAGAGGGACAACTTGATATCCAGGGCCTTGCACAGGGCCCTCCAAAATCTAGATGTAAATTGGACCCCGCGATCCGAGACGATGTCCTCCGGGGATTCCATGTAACCTTACGATTTCCTGGATGAATATTCGCGCCGTCTCGGACGCAGACGGAGTCCCTCCTCAATGGTACAAAGTGAGCCATTTTTCGATAATCGATCGATGACCACGAAGATCGCGGTGTGTTCTTGGGACGGTGGGAGCTCGACTATAAAAGTCCATTGCGATCCCTTGCCACGGTCGTTCAGGAATCGGCAAGGGACGCAGCAGTCCCCAAGCCTTGTTCCTCGATGGCTTGTTTTTCTGGCAGACGGTACAGGATCTTACATAGAGTTTTACAATCCTTGGCCATACTTGGCCACCAAAAAGAGCGTTGGAGAAGCTCCAGGGTCTTGGCTGGGCCAAAGTGTCCCGCCATCGGGTGGTCATGGCAATGTCCCAGGACAAGGGTCCGGACCTCTTCAGGGACCATGACCAACCCATCCTTCCATAGGAGTCCCCCCTTGTTCTGGAGGGACACACCAACTGGGACTGACGCGGCCGTGGATGCCTCCAATAGTTTGGACCGAAGGTCCGTCTGGAGCGCCAAGAAATTTCCTGCAGACAGAATCGTATCAGGTACCGGATCTTCTTTGGAGTCTTCAAACATACGAGATAGTGCAATCAGGTTTCGTATTTTTAGATCCGGGCCTATACGTGATGTGAAAAATGAACCTGGAGAAGAACAATGCCCATCTTGCCTGCCGTGGGCGTAAGCGTTTGGCGGTCCTTAGGTACTCGAGATTCTTGTGATCAGTGAAGATCAAGATGGGGTGCGAGGCACCTTCCAGCAGGTACCTCCATTCTTCGAGAGCTGTTTTGATGGCCAACAACTCTCGATCGCCGATATCGTAGTTCTTTTCTGCTAGGGTAAGTTTTCTTGAGAAGAACGCTACAGGATGGAGCAACTCTTTGGTGCCCTTTCGCTGGGACAGGATGGACCCCACCGCATTCTCTGAAGCGTCTACTTCCAAGATGTATGGCAGGGCAGCGTCCGGGTGGCCCAGAATGGGTGCCGAGGTAAAGAGTTTTTTCAAGGCCTCAAAGGCTTCCTGAGCCTCCGGCGTCCATCTGAACCGGGTTCCAAGCTTGGTCAACTGAGTTATGGGGGAGACCAGACCCGAGAAGTTCTTAATGAACTTCCGGTAGAAATTCGCAAAACCGATAAAACCGCTGGACGCCCTTCTTGTCCGCGGTACCCCGCCACTCCAAAATTGCCGAGACTTTCTGAGGGTCCATTGCGACCCCCGCGGTGGAGATAATCAACCCCAGGAACGTAATGCTAGGTTGCTCAAAGCAACACTTATCTGCCTTGGCGTATAACCCATGCTGACGTAACCGCCCCAACACCCTTGCCACATGTATCCTGTGATCCTTCAGGGAGGATGAGAAAATCAGTATATCGTCCAGGTAAACGATAACGAAAATATCCAGGTAATCCCTAAAAATATCGTTTACGAAATGCTGAAATGTGGCTGGTGCATTGCACAGACCAAATGGCATGACCAGGTATTCAAAGTGCCCAAATCGTGTACGGAACGCGGTTTTCCACTCGTCCCCCTCCCTTATGCGAACTAGGTTGTACGCCCCCCTTAGATCAAGTTTAGTAAATATGACCACAGTCTTCAGGCTCTGAAATAACTCTGGCACTAACGGTAATGGGTAACGATTTTTAATCGTGACCCTGTTCAGCTCCCGGTAGTCTATACATGGTCTCAGAGATTTGTCTTTTTTTTCCACAAAGAAGATCCCCGCCCCTGCTGGCGAAGTGGAGGGACGGATGAACCCCTTCTGGAGACTGTCCTCAATGTATTCCTTCAGGGCCCCCAATTCGAGTTCCGATAGGGGAAAAATTCGCCCAAAAGGAATCTCAGAGCCGGGTAACAGGTCAATGGACAGTCATACGGGCGGTGGGGGGGCAGGGCATCTGCTCCCCGTTTACTGAACACGTCCAGGAATTCATGATATTCTGTGGGAATAACCTGTTTCAGATCAGAATCCCCCTCGGAGCATAGGAGGACCTGGGGGCCTGCCGGGCCTGAAGTGCGGCAGTGTTCCTGACAGTATGGGGAAGGGAACAAGATTGACCCGGTTTCCCAGTTAATTTGGGGGTTATGGGC